AGAGCCATGACAAGACCGGTTTTTTGCCCCCCCTTTTTCTTGGCGGCCTTTTTTCCATTGGCCAAAGGTTGGAACAACCTAGGTGTCCATCAACTGAGGAATGGATAAGCAAACTATGGTACATGTACACAATGGAATACTATGCAACACTAAAGAATAATGTAGAATCTGCAAAACACTGCATAACATGGATGAACTTGGAGGACATTATGCTGAGTGAAATAAGTCAATCACAAAAGGACAAATATTGTGTTAGTCCGTTATTGTAAAAGTTAAGGAAAGGTTTATCTATAGAAGGAAATTTTCCTTGCTGGTTACCAGGGGTGGGGGGAGGGGAGGGAACACTATTAGATAGATAGAGATAAGTATTGATTTGGGTGAAGAGAAGGGCAATGTACCAAATGTGAGTGACCAATATGGCAGCATTGAGGATGAGAAAGACATAGAGAGGTACATGGGAAGTACAGACAACAAAGATGAACCCTTTTGCACATACAGTACTGCGTTGTCAGTGAAGGCAAACATGGGTATATGGGTGGATAGATGGGTGGACAGGCTGAACTATTAGGTATGTCTATGAAGTAGGGAGTGTATCCAAGAACATGTATAGGATTGCCAGACAATGGTCCTATAAGTTTATGTGAATAATCAGAATTCCCAGGTGTATAGTAGAGCTGACAAGGGGCAAGTTTGTGGTCACTGCTTGGTCACAGCCAGCTACACAGAGGGACTGAGTAGTTGAACATGTGGGCTTGGGACCATAGTCGCATGGGACATCAAGCTCAATTGGCATAACATACTATAGAAAACATTGTTCTACTTCCTACTTTGGCGAGTAGCGCCTGGGATCTTAAAAGCCAGGAAGCTGCCATCTAGAGGCAACGATGGGTCTCTCCTCGTCCAGAGCAAAGAAGAATGAAGAAAACCAAAATTCATGGAAACAATTACTCCTAGCGACTGGTACACCATCCGATCTGCAGCCTACACAACTATGAGACCAGAACAACTAGATGGTGCCGGCTACCACTGTCATCCACTTGGAAGGGGATCTATGTAGGAGATCCTTGTTAGAGAGGGAGAACAATGTGGAACAAAATTCAAAATCATTTGGAGGGGAAAAAAAGAGGGGAGGACCAGTTTTGCTGGTCCAATTGAGCCTGGTGGAACCACTGAGACTATGGCCCCTAGCTGCCCTTCAGATCTGGAATTGAACCCACACCTGTGGTTTCCAGCCAAACAAAATACAGGCATATGAGTTAAACATTTACCTCAAGTAGATACACTACTTGGAGAGAACAATCATGGGAGAAAGAAGGGCTGCTTATGCACAGGGAGACGGCTCAGGGGGCAGGAATGTATGGAGGGATGGACACTGGGAAGAGGTAACTATGGGGAGGAAGTGGGAGGGGAGCTGTTGCATTGGGGTAAACTGTGGTCAATGACATGAGAAAAAATATATTTGAACTGCTGTATGGATAGGGAATTTGCTCTGTAAATCTTCACCCAAATCACAATAATAATTTTTTAAAAAGTCCCGATACATGCTACACTGTGAATGAATCTTGAAAATATTATGAGTGAAATGTCAGTTTCAAAAGGACAAGTAGAGTGTGGTCTCACTTGTATGAAATACCTAGAATAGGCAAGTGTATAGAAATTCACCCATGGGACTCCATGTGTGACGGAGTGGAACTGCTCCAGGGGGTTTTCTTGGCTGTAATCTTTACAGAAGTAGATCAGCAGGTCATTCTTCCCTGATGCCACTGAATGGGTTCAGTAGTGGTTAATTGTTAAGCTCAAATTGTTTGCACCATGCAAGGATTGTCATGAATTGGAATTTACTCAACAGCACTGGGTTTGGGGGGTTTTGTAAAGAAACCCAAAGCGTATTGTCAGGAGGGAGAGGAAAGAGCTATTCATTGCTTAGGGGCACTGAGTTTTTGTTAGACTGTTGGAAAATTTTGGAAATGGAGGGTGAATTGATGTCACTGATTTGGACATATAAGAAATGTTGAAATGGGAAATGTTTTATATATACATATACATACACATACACACACACACACACACATATATATATAAAATAACCCAGAAAAAACAAATTCACTTCCATGAAGTCGGATCCAACCCATAGCGACCCCTCTTTGGGTTTCCAAGGCAGTATCACTACAGAAGTAGATTGCCCAGTCTTCCTTGCAAGGAGTGGCTGGTGGGTTTGAACTTCCAGCCTTCTGGTTAGCAGTCAAGTGCCTTAGGCACCACATCATCAGAGCTCCCATATATGTATATATCGCACAATAAAAAAAAAAAAAAATTACCACTAGGAAGAAGGATTGGAGATAGACTGGGCGTAACAGTAAAATGGTTTTCTGATCAAAATTGAAAGACTTTTGGTGAAGCCTCATGTTTTTCCTAATGGGCTAGCCTCTCTACCAGTGGGTTCAAAGTATCTGTGAACCAGGTGGGCAGGTATAGCCTCTCATGGCCTCCCATAAGTCATTTTGGCTCCATTTTCATATTCTCATTCAGAATGATCATTTTCATTATAAACAACCTCCAAAGGTCTTTTGTATGCCTTTTCTATTGGCCATATTGAGAGTGCAGAATGAATGAGTGGGAGGGGGATAGGCCTTCTGACCTAATGATAATTTATTTTCTTCTGTTGAGTTTGGCAGCTGGGTTAAGCAGTGGGGAAACCAAAAGTAAGACCAAGACTTTACCCTTGAAACTCACCAGGAAGGCTTAGACATGAGTGACTTCATCTATCTCTGAACAGCCTGAGCTTAATCTTTTTCTGTATATAATGGCCAGATTTCTATCATCTACTGATCACCTCCATTGATTAAATTGTTGTCTGGCTAGTATCTTGTTGAGGCTAATCTTCTAAGGGAAAGGAGGTAATGCTTACTGAGCTCTTACTCTGCCAGCCACTATGCTAGGTGCTTTAAAAAGTTCTTGTTTATTCCTTACAACATACGCTGAAGTAGAGAAGTACACTGTCCCCATGTGGTAGAGTGGAAGCTGAAGTTTAGAGAAGACAGATATCCACATGGCTGGATTTGGAACCAAAACCTGATGGACTCCCAAACCCTTACATTAAAGCACATCCCCTCTCTCTCACACAGCACTCAGCACAGTCCTATTAAACACACCTACATCCTGCCTATGTCTTAGTAGTGTGCTAACTATTCCCCAATATATCATCTTTTGTAAGGAGCTCTGATGGTGTAGTGATTAAAACATTTGGCTGCTAACCAAAAGATTGGTGACAGGGGGATTTTGAAATAGGTCTTGTCTTATGAGGTAAGTAATGTCACATCTTAATTGGAGGCAGCCAGCAGGCAGACAGCTGGTATCTGGTGTAGAAATAGGTTAAATTTGACAATGGGCTTCCTTACTTCCCCATTTTCCTCCCCCTTAGATACAAGTCAGGGGTCTCTTTGTAGTTCGCTTGAAGTTAACATGGCTTGGGTTATTAAGATCTAGTCATTCAGAACAGGATCATGTGTCCATATGACAGATGTGAGCTGTACAGTGCTTCCTGTCTTTGGAGAGATGGCAGAAACATGCTGTGAACAAGCCCTGGTGGCCTGTTTCAGGGTTCAGGCTCCTCTGGTGGAGGTTTGGCCTGTGAGAGCAAAGTCCTCTGGTAATGAAGTCACTTGTCCTTGGGAACAGAATAAGTCCTCTGTGAAATCAGAAACAATGGGCATGTTGAGTTCCAGATCCAGGGTGAATCGAAGCTGGGGCAGAGGCACATGGTGATGAATTGGGACAATTCAAGGGATGCATTCTTCAAGACAAGTTTCTGATGTCAACAGTCGACTAAGTTGCAATGATAGTTGATGCCTCAGTTTTGAATAATTTCCCCAAGTGAATAAGTTATGAACTCTTCCTTGTAGTTTATTTTGTCTGAAAATAATCATTTGAGAAATGGACGAAAAATAGTTTGGGGTAACATTCTTTTCTTATTTTTCATGGTATTGTTTCCCTTTGCATTTTCATTTACCTGTGAAGCAAATACTTACTCTCATGTGTCTGGTTGGTTTGTTGCTAGTAATAAAAGTTGGGTGTTGCTATTCTCTACTGTTAAGCAAAAGCTTTGGTACAAATTTTTCAGAATTTAACTTAGGAAGCCTAAGCAAACAAGTAAAGAGTCTTGCAAACTTTAAGAAAAAGTAGCCCATCCATTAACATAGTTCAGCCTCATCTAGATCAGTCTGTGCTGTTTTAGGTTTTCTAATAAAAGAGCAGGAGCTGTGTCTCAAGAGCCCAGTGTCGTGGGGCAGTGCCCCCTGTACGGTGCTGCTGAGTTGGGTGCAGGAACTGGCATTGGCCTCTTTCCTTCTGCCATGCTCCCTAGAGATAAGATTAACAACTACATGCAGTTGCCAGTGTATGCTAAGGGAGCGTTTGAAACAAAGAAAAGCAGCAAATGCACTAGGAGCAGCAGGCACACTGGCTGGGGACCAGGATTTGGTAGAGGGAGGCTCTGCCTGGGACCTGAGTCGCTGCACTGTCTGAAAAGGGACAGTGTATGAGAGCAAGAGGCCAGGGAGGTCCGCCGTGGCAGGGAGTTTCCCCGGGAGGGGAACAGCCCAGCGAGTCTGACCAAAGGCCCCTGTAAAACACTTGCGTTTCAGACCTCGAAGTTTGTTCTTGGCAGCGCTGCAGGGGCGGGGCCTGGGAGCTCTGCTAACCGCCCTCCTCCTTTCTCTCCTAAAGGTGAGCGCTGTGGGGCGGCCGGATCGCAGGAGCTGCCTGACGAGCTGGAGGAAGCGCCATGTGTCAGTATGAATGCTGACCGAGAGGCTTGCCTGTTGGTAACCGCACTGCCAGAGGAAGAAAAAGAACAAGCAGCCCTGGGGCTGAGTGAGTGAATGACCAGCAGAGCCAACTTCCTCCTCTGAGGTTGGCTGAGCCTCTGTGCTCTTTTCCTTCGCTTTCTTCTTTGATTAACCCCGTGGAGTCCTGACTCTTCTTCCACCTTGAACATCAATATGTGTCATGTCATTGTCACCTGTCGCTCGATGCTCTGGACTCTCCTGAGTATTGTGGTGGCATTTGCAGAACTCATTGCCTTCATGAGCGCAGACTGGCTCATTGGAAAAGCCAAGACTCGCAGCCATGCCGAGCTGGACAACCAGACCGGAGGCCCCTCGGAGCCCTACCACCCCACCTTGGGCATCTACGCCCGCTGCATCCGCAACCCCGGGGTGCAACACGTCCAGCGGGAGACGCTGTGTGGGCCCTATGCTGAGAACTTCGGCGAGATTGCCAGTGGCTTCTGGCAGGCCACTGCTATTTTCTTAGCCGTGGGGATCTTCATTCTCTGCATGGTGGCTTTGGTCTCAGTCTTCACCATGTGCGTGCAGAGCATCATGAAGAAAAGTATTTTCAACGTCTGTGGGCTGTTGCAAGGGATTGCAGGTGAGTGTGTGAGCAGAGGGAGGGGCTCGAGAGCCGAAGAGATGCTTTAGATAGGGATTTTAAAGACAGCCTTCTGTGTCAACAGGCTTACTTTGTTAATGTACTGTTCCAGGCAACGTGAACACACTTCCCTCATTCTCCCTGCTTCAGTCTCTCTTGCCTAACAGGAAAACAGTGTCTTGTCTTTTTTCTGGTCTCACATGTTCCTCTTCCCTGTGTATTTCCTGGGCTTGTTGGCTGTGCTTTGAGTAACTACTCGTATTTTTTGCTTTTCCCTTTAAATTAAAAGCATGTTTTTCCTGTCAGTGCATTCCACACTGAGGAATTATGGCGAGAGAATCCCAGCGGTAGCAAGTGCTCAGTGCTGAGAAAGAATGTAAGTGCTAGGAGTTCATTAAGCCTGGTGAGCCTGGTCCTACCGCACTCCTCAGCCCCATCCCGACTTCAGGAGGGGCAGATGGGGTGGGAGGAATTAGTATCAGCTGCTCTGTGTTTAATACTGTTCTGGTTTAAATTGTCTGTCTCCTGGAGCCTGACAGAATGTTCTGTGCACTCAGATCAGAAAATGCAAGCTACCTCTTCCTTTTTCTGGGTAATTCTCACTAATGAGCTTGTTAGAAATCATTGGAAGGGAAAGTGTGAGCTCCTCACAGAAATCCCAGCGGAAGGAAGGCGTGCGGCAGGAAAGTGTCCCCTGTTGCCAGCACTTTCTTAAGCTTCCTCATGTGAGCTTGAAAGTTGGGTCCTGAACTAAGGGCGTATTACTCTGTCTTGATTCAAAAGACTTACTCTTGGCAACAGAAATTCACTCTCTCTCTCTCTCACACACACACACACACCCACACACCCCTGATGAATGTGAAAGAAGTAGAGAAGTAGACGTCTACTTTAATTTTCAGGGGGGAAAATTCATCATAGTCAAGGTATTTATTAATCTGAAACCTAAGAAATGGTAATATAAATATAACCCTAAAAGAAGGGCACACCCCTCAGCAAAGGACCCTAATAAAACTCTGGTTTGCCTTTTAGCAAACTCTTGAGCTCAGCAGGGCTGCTTCTAAATAAACGGATCAAATGAGGTGGTTGTCCCTTCCCACACACACCCAAAAAAAAGCAGTTCATAAGATAAAATTCTCTGTTCCTCAAATCTTTAGGGCTCTGTGGCAGTGGGTTTAATTAATGGGGCAAAAGAAAAGACAGAGGATCTGAACCATGGTCCTGATTTGTCTGTATGGGGGGTACACTCCAGTCAGACACCAGGACCCTTCATTCTCCTGACCTAAAGAGCTTCCCTCTCTTTATCTGCCTGGATCAACCATATTATATAAATGACCCAGGCACTCACAGCATTTTGGGGGCCAGAATTCTAATTTTCAGCCTTGCTACTAACCAGCAGTTAAATTTGAGAGAAACGTACCACCTCTTTTGACTTGTTTTCATCTTCTGAAAAATAGGTGGAGTAGAATACATGGTCTTACCATAGTGTGATTATGTCCCATTGTCTCTTTTTGAAATCTCTACTTTTGAAGTATAGCCCATATAGTTTGACACTTCACCTCTCAGAAATGTTAAATAGGGTTAGTTCCAAAACCAGTCCATCTTTTGCTTGTCAGATGAATGTCCTTGCTTTATTCTCTTCACACACACAGTGCTTCAGTGTGTGTGCATACACAGATGTGTGTATCTCAAAAAGTTTGCTGAGAAATGTTACCAAAGGCTTTTGAAGAGTCAGAATAAACCTGTGTGTAAGGAGAAGCCGGCACACACAATTTCCTAATCCTGTCGAAGAGTCCTTCTTGGCCAGAGAGACAGAGTTCTGCTCAGTTTTCAGTCACTGCATTATATTTGTGCATCCTTGATGACTTCAGGCCTTTATAGTGGGTTTTATCAAGATGCTGGTATGCAATATAATACTATGCAACATTAAAGAACAATGAAGGATATGTGAATCATCTCACAATGTGGATGAGCCTGGAGGACATTATGCTGAGTAAAAAAAGTCAGTCACAGAAGGAAAATCATAGAAGGAAAATATTGTATGAACCCATTACTGTAAAAAGACAAGGAATGGTTTGCTTAAAGCAGGAGACTCACTTTGTAGGTTACCGGAGTGGGGAAGGAAGGGGAGAGAATAATTTCAGGCTAGTTGGGAGCCACATGCTGAGGTGGGCAAGAGGAGGGATGGTGTGGAAAGTGTCTGTGACCACTATGATAACACTGGGGAAAGGAAAGACACCAAATTGTGCACATAAGATATAGACAACAGAAGCTAATACCAGTATATCCACAATACTGCATTACCATTAACACCAAACACCATGGTACAGATAAACACATAAACATCTGAGAAGATCAGATGGGGGTCAGTGAACGGGATTATACTCTAGACTAAGGATAGATTCAGCTGAAGCTAATCCTGCACAGATACCAGTGATACAAAATACCCACAATCCTTACAGAAACAATGGAAGACAGACATAGAGCAATCCCTCACAGACACCCAGACGCTGTGGGAGAGAGAGCCAATGGATCTACTGACTTGGGACCATAATTTTTGGTGACAGCAGACTCAATTGGCACAATAAAATACATAAAAATCTTGCTCTACAACCTGTATTGGTGAATAGCAACTGGGGTCTTAAAAACTTTTGAGTGTCCATCTAAGATGCAGCTAATGGTATCCTATTGTTGGAAGCAAATAAGAGCAAAAAACCAAGGACATTTGGAAGCAATCAGCCCTAGGACATGATGGCCCTGGAGACCAGAAGAACTAGATGGTACCTGGCTACCAATGCCAGCCACTCAGGAAAGGATTAAAACTGGAGATCCTGGATAGAGTGGGATGAAAAATGTGGAAGAAAATCCAAAAACTCAATAATACCAGAATTACTGGTCAGATGAAGTCTGGTAGGATTCCCAAAACTATGGCCCTGGGATACACTTCAGGCCTGGAATAAAACTCACTCCCAGGGACTGGCTCTCAGCCCAATAGTAAACAAGACATACACGCAGACCACTCAACCCAGGTGATGCACCCACATACTCTATGCAGATGCATCCCTTGGAGCAATCTACCATGGGGCACGAGAGGGGCAACATTCGCATGTAGGAAATGCAAGACACACGGGAGTGTGTAACTATGAGAGGCACAGTGAGGGGTTACTGGGAAGGGAGGGGAGGAGAGTGGGTTAGGGTCGGGGATGGTAATTGGAGAGTGAAACTAAATGTACATGAAATGCTGAATGTAAAACAAACTCTGCTCTGTAAATTTCCACCTAAAGCACAATTTAAAATATATATATATCATGGATTGAGTCAGATGCACACACACAAAAAGATGGTGGTGTGCAGGTGAGATCCCTGGTTTCTCATCCTGAGGGATGCCTTTCATCCCGAGAAACAAAATGGTGATCCAACTGCCTCCTAGCAATGCACTGGACATTCACATTAGGAAGTGGGACATCTTGGGCCAAAACACCATGACCTGTCTCTCATAGTCATTCAGAAGCAAAGACTGATTTATTTATATCTAGTTTTTAATAAGGTGTTAGTCCGATGAATTCAAGCTCTAAGAATGCAGATTAGTCCAACAAATCCTCTGATGTTCCTGTTTGCTATTTAACATAAATGGCAACAAGTGTTCATTTTGGCACAAAGATTCATACATATCTTAGCTATTATTCATGCAGTCCAATGAGTTATTCCTGGCTTTTCTCTCTCCCTTTCTCTCGGAATAAGGCCTCTGGGAAAAAGCGTTGAGGAGAAGGGAGCACTGCACACCTGAGTGGCTAGCCTGCTGGCTCCTCCCTGTCTTTTGAAAAAAGTCTCCATTTTCTAAAAGAAATTTTTATTTTCTTCCCATTACTGTTACTTATATTTCTCTGCATACATAGAACATCTCAAAATTTCTGAAATCACTCAAAATCTTAACCCTTTCATGGCCCATGGGACATTTATCACCCATCAACATTTTCAGCGTCATAGGTTTCTTGGGAAGCTGGTATCCCAGATGTAGTACATGCTACCACCTATTGGGGACCTGAATAACATGTGAAGCTAAAGAAGCAGGCCTCACCCCACCAATCCTACCACCAGAGTCTACTTGGGACATTTATGTCCCACATAATTGTATCGAAATCCATATTACCTCAAAAAAGTTTTTCCTTAATTTCAGCATGCCTTCCATTATTGAAAACACATGGTATCAACAACAAATGCAAAGCAGAAAATAATTTAGTCATGAAAGGGTTACATTTGGAGGAAGACAGAGGTTGTATAGTCATACACATACACTGTGTCATACATGTGTCATACACTATGTAGTCATAGGACACAGTCAAGCACTGAAATACTGTGAGGAAGTGGTTTCTTTTCACCTTCCAGCTTAGCAGCATGGCTCTGAGAAGAAATCATGGGAAAGAAAGATTAAGCACTTGTGAGGTCAGCCATCAACCAGCTTCCTTGTGTTTGGGAGCACACCTGTGAAGGGAGGCTCAGTGGGCTGTCCTTCCCTAAGGGAGCTATACACCAGGCAGTTCAGGCCACATCAGTAGCAGCCACGAGTCTCGAATATATTGCTGAGAAAACTGCCACAGCAGCAGGACTGAGAACTAGTTCAGTGCAGTTCGAGCCTCTGCTGAGAATTTGCCTTTCCTCCCCAGATATACTGAATCAAAATCTACATTCTAACAAGATCCCCAGGTGGTTCTCTGAGAGTTTAAAATATAAATTCTGATTCAGTATATCTGGGGAGGAAATACAAATTCTGAACAAGGGGTTCAGAATTCTGAACCAGAATGAACCGATTCTAAGCCCTGCACAGCAGTGTCTGAAGCAGCTGACTTGCTTTCTCTCCTATTGGCCTATCTCTGTAAGCATCTGGTCAGCCCAGGCTGAGCCAGGACTGGCTGCAGTTGGAATGATCAGTCTTTTCTGTCTCCATACCCCATTCTCTTTCAACCTTGTTTCTATTAGACAGTGAAACAAATGGTGGAAAAGGA